GTTGAAGGAGGTTTAGGGGTTTAAAGGGTTGAGCCTGATGTTTAGCGATTTGGATTTGGGCCCACCACCACTCCTGTTACGACGACGACGACGACGACGACGACGACGACGACTACTACTACTACTAGTGCTGCGGTGTCGTTCCAATCCCTGCCGGCCTACATGTCGCAAAGCTAGCATGGTAACCCCCGCCTCCACTTCACGACAGTTCGGCCAATACGGTACTAGTGAGGATCCATATTGTTGGTCCTTGTACAAAGGATCCTACAACCATGTAATTACGGCTATATGCTTGGGCCGCTCATTTTCTGAAGCCCCTAAACCCTAAACCCCTAAACCCTAAACCCCTAAACCCTAAACCCTATAAACCCTAAACCAGGAAATCGAGATTCTATTGGCAAGTCTTGGACCAGACAGGCGAAGTCAGGCCGCGGGGTGTGTGAACTGAGGTTTAGGGTTTAGAGTTTGAAGCTTTTCGAGTTTTGCATTGAAGCTTTCTGTTTCAAGTAGCTTAAAACAGTGTAAGTCCTAGAACCATCAACTCGAAATCCCAAGGCCTCAATGCTCAAATCTTTGAGCTCTCAGCCGCAAGCCCTTTATTCAAGCGTTATAAGACCCAAAATCCTTCAGCCCTGAAGCTAAAAGTCCCTCAGTTAAAAAAACCATGAAGCCCTAGAGTCCTAAACCCTACACCCTAAACCCTAAACCCTAAACCGTGTGCAGCCTAGAGTCCTGAACCCCGAAGCCTCCGATTCCTGAAACCCTGGAACCTGGAAGCAACATCCTGAAGCCCAAAACTCTAGGGCTTTAGGGTTTAGGGGTTTAGGGTTTAGGGTTTAGGGGTCTAGGGGTTTAGGGGTTTAGGGTTTAGGTTTAGGGTTTAGGGCTCCTTACCCCAGGGCTCCAAGTATACAAATAGCGCCTACTTTGGGGTCTAAAGTCCATAAATGGTACCTAGCCCTAAATCCACAATCCTTACGCGCTACATCTTGAAGGTCGATCAGGATTGACAGCGGCAGTTCAGATGCACAGCTTATGGTTGGAGCTGTCTGCAGGTTATAGGGCCAGTTTCGAGTTTGTTTTTTTTGGCATTTGGGGTTTGGAGCTTAGAGGCTAAGGTTTAGGGTTTAACGCAGGGGCCTGAATACTTGCCAACATTATTTTTGGGGCTCCTTATTCGAAATTCTAACTGTAGTATCATGGGCCCCAAAACCCTATTCTAGTATAAGGGGCCCCAAAACCCTATTCTAACCCTAAACCCCAAACCCTAAACCTTAAAACCCTATTCTAATTATTAATGGCCCCCATATTAGGGCCATCCGGAGTTCGGGATGCCGGTGCGAAGCGATCCACCGTTCTTATCCGAATCCCCTATGGGAGACGACGAAGCAATATCTACCTTAAGAACCCAAAGCCCACTTTTTTGTAGGTTCTTATTATAGACCCTAATATGGGATTTCTAGGGACCCTACAGCAAAGTAGGTTTTTTGGTTCTTAAGGTAGGTCCCGATATCCCAGTGGACCGTTGTTCATTTTCTGGTGGCTTAGGTTTCTTACGAAGCTACCAAAACTAAGAACCGAGCCTTGTCTATTCGAGGTTATTGCGGATCGTAGATCATGCATCCAGCAACAGAAAGCAAAAGGTGAGGCCAAAGCCGTGGAAGAAATAGCCCCTCCTCAGAAGCTAACTCACAAGCCCTGAACCCCAAATGCTTCACCTTTCACCCTAACCCTAATCCCAAAACCCTGAAACCCTAAAGAAGGCCTGAACCCTAAACCCTAATCCCAAAACCCCCAAACCCTAAAGAAGGCCTGAACCATAAACCCTAATCCCCAAAACCCTGAAACCCCAAAGAAGGGAGAAAAGCAAGCAAATGAACACCAACAGGCCGCGGGCTCCTTCCTTCCCCTCCGGCTTGCTGTTTCCTGGCCGGAGTCAGACTTTTCCGGGTGCGCTTTGTTGCAGAAGCTTCTACGCTAAACCCTAAACCCTACGGCTACCCTAAACCCTAAACCCTAGGGTTTGGGGGAGCTCTTTCTGGCAGCAGCTTTTTAAGGCTTGAGGATGGAGGGTGTGCTCTTTGTGACAGAAGCTTCTGTTCTTCTTGGAGGGTTGGGTAGTTGTAAGTAGGGTTATTAGTAGGTCATCTATATACTTCTAACCCAGTTTGGGAGTCTTGTAGCCCCAGTTGTAACAACCCCATGAACCCCCGAGTAGGGTTTTAGGTTTACTTGCAGGCGCTCAGAATTAGGGCTCAGGGCTTGGGGTTTAGGCTTTAGTGTTTGGGGTTTGGGGTTTAGGGTTTAGGGTTTGGGTGGGGTGCTTTTTGTCGTACTGGCTCCTGGGCTTAAGTAGAGTTTCAGAAAGTGTTGTTGGGGGCGGGGTGCCCTACAACTCCCTGTGTAACGGGTGTTTCGCAGTCATGTTGAATGTTGGGCTTTGTTCGGGATGGTGCTCCGGCGTTGCTGCTCAGCCCGCCACCCAAGCCTTGACAGCAACCCAGAAACACTGAGCCCACCTATTGTAGGGGCCTCAACAATTACCTACATTATTTTGAGGGTTCCTTAGTATAATTATAGTATACTGGGCTCCAAAACCGTATTCTAATCATTAAGGCTCCTCAACATTAGGGCCTAGATGCCCGAAGCATCGAAACCCTGATCCCCCTAGACTTCGAACCGCCTGAAGCCTGTCTCAGAACCCTAAACCCTCAACCCTACACCCTAAACCCAAACCCAAAACCCTAAACCCTATCCCTGAGCCCTAAAACCCTAAACCCCTAAAACCCCTAAACCCTAAACCCCCACAAGCCCTAAAACCCGTTTCGGCAGGCTGGCCTCGCCCTCCCTTGCGGCCGGCTGCCTGGAGAAGGTGGTTCAGTACCGCTCCGTGGCCTCGCAAAAACCGAGGGCTGCAGGGCTTAGGGCAGGGGCCCTAAACCCTAAACCCTAAATCCTAAACCCTAAACCCTAAACCCTAAACCTTAAACCCTAAACCTTAAGCCCTAAACCCCAAACCCTAAACCCTAAACCCTCAGCCGTTTAGGGAGTTTAGGTCTGTAGGGTTTAGAGAGCTTAGGGGTTCGGAGTTTGGGGTAGAGGGGGGGCGGGGGTTCATGGCTTCCTTGTCGTTGAGTGGGGAGGGGTGATGCTCGGGTTCAGGGCTGAGTTAGGGTTTAGGGCTTAGGGAGTTTACAGTAGGGTTTAGGAGGGCGTAGGGAGTTTAGGGTTTAGGACGGTTTAGGGAGTTTAGGGTTTAGGAGGGTTTCGGAGGGTTTAGGGTTTGCAATCCTAGCCCTCAAACTCACGCCCTAACATCCCCCACAGGCAAGCAAGCAACAAGAACACCCCAAGGAGCCTACAATGCTGGCCAAGAGATCTCGGCCTTCCTGAAGCAAAGCGTGCCGCGGGTGGTTGCCGAGGCCGACAGTTGTTTGTTTGGGGTTTAGGGCGTGTAGCCTGTACCAGGGCTCCATAAAGGGAACTAAAAACCCTAAACCCTAAACCCTAAACCCTAAACCCTAAACCCTAAAGCCTAAAGCCCTGAACCCCAACCTCCCAGCGTGAACCCTCAGCCCTCCATGTCCCAAACCACAAACCACATAGCCCACGGTTTAGGGTTTAGGGTTTAGGGTTTAGGGTTTAGGGTTAACTCAAAACTCAACCCTTCTGAATCGAGCATTCTGCTAGAAACCTACAAGAACCCCCTAAAAAAAGGCCGAAAACCCAACGCCTTGCGCCGGTTTTTCCTGGCTCGAGGCCGACCCACGGGTGCAACCTCTGCAGATCTCCGTGTCCTTCCCCGTGGAAACAGCAACCCGGGCCGATTTCAAAAAGGAGCTACAAGAGGGTTGGGTTTAGGGTTTAGGGTTTGGGGTTTAGGGTTTAGGGTTTAGGGTTTGGGGTTTGGGGTTTGGGGTTGAGGGTTGAGGGTTGAGGGTTTGGGGTTTCAGGAAGGAGTGCCTGAGGCTCAGGTTTCACATGAACATCAGCTTGGATGGATGTCTGCAGGTATGTAGCGGGTAGATAGGTAGATAGATACATGGATGGATGGATGGATGGATGGATGGATGGATGGATGGATGGATGGATGGATGGATAGATGGATAGATAGAAGGATAAGAGAGAAAGAAAGATAGACAGATAGATAGATAAGTCACACCTATGTGGAAGCAGCAAGCACTCCATAACACAATTTAGTATGACACAAAGCCCCTATAGTAAAGAATGGGCTACATCGCAGACCGCAGGTAGATACAGCTTCACGCATGCCGTATCTCATAATTGCTGAGTATACGAAGGTTGTGGGTGGTAGTGGTGGTGCACGCCTCAAGTTTGATTGGTCTACAAACTTGTGAGACACTCCTAAGCCCCGTAAAATCAGGGGTTGAGGCCCTGGAACCCTAAACCCTAAACCCTAAGCCCTAAACCCTAAACAGGGTTTTGTTGTTGTGGGTTTAGGGTTAGGGTTTGGCTTCCAGGGCCGGGGAATAAGGATTTAGTAGAAATTTGCTTGACCTGCATATAGGGTTTAGGGTGTAGGGTTTAGGGTTTAGGGTTCAGGGTTCATACATGGATCGAAGCTTCGCAGTTGCGCTGGAGTGGCAAGCAGTAAACAAAACCACGCGGTTGCTTTCAGAAGGACGGGTTTCTATGACCACATTGCAATCCCTCTTCACCCCGTAAGTAATCAAATAGGCCCCTATCCCTATGCATCGCTTGGAAAAGAAACCCTAAACCCTAAATCCTAAACCCTAAACCCTAAATCCTAAACCCTAAACCCTAAATCCTAAACCCTGAACCCTAAACCGGTCTGCAGAATAGCTCCACGGAGCCTCCATGCCTAAACCCTAAACCCTAAACCCTAAACCCCTCCCAGTGCCTACGAAGGATGTGCAGGGTTCTTGCTTGGTTTCATAGAGCCGACACCCTATAGGGTTTAGGGTTTAGGGTTTAAGGTTTAGGGTTTAGGGTTTAGGGTTTAGGGTTTAAGGTTTAGTTTTTAGGGTTTAGGGTTTAGTTTTTAGGGTTTAGGGTTCAAGTTTTTAGGGTTTAGGGTGTAGTTTTTAGGGTTTAGGGTTTCCTAAACCCTACCTAAACCATCACACAG